GTATTCAGCATTCAGCTCTTTCTATTTCTTCAGGAAAATAAAGGGGTTATATCTGTATGGAAAATGGGACAAGTAGTTTTCAGCTGATTCTCCTGGGGAGTTGCTGTTGAAATCACTCAGGAGATGCTCTGACACAGGATTGTGAAGACGATGCTGACCCCCGGTGGTCGCTGTCAGCAACACGGGATGTTCAACCCTGGTGGATGCCTTTGTTGCTGTTTTGCCCACAAGAGATTTTAGGCTGTCATGTGCTGAATGCAGGTGAGTTTTTAAACCTCAGATGAGGAAAATTCATGACCACATAGAAGATGAGAAAATTGAACACTTCATCAAGCACATTCCGCTGATGAGAACTGTTTACACAGAGAGCCAAAGATTAACTGGGAAGAGGAAGGAGGTGGGGACGATCATCCATAGAAGGACACATCCAACCTGCTTGAACTCCCTGTGGAAGTAGGGTTTAAATGTTTGTCCTCAGCTAATCGGGGGCATTTCAAGACCTTCACAAGCTTTCAGAGAAAGAGTTTTCGTGAACAAATACCCATATATTACTCAGAGTTCTATTTTTTTGTATGTATTCTTCTTCTCTAGGCAGCTCCACAGTAGGGTGTTCTCAGAATTCTCCCCGATCCTTCTTGAGTTCCTGGTGCAGTTGCTGGAGGAAAAGCCTGCATGAGGGAGGGACCCCTCCTCATGTGAATCCCTGAGGCTGTCCCGTCACCTCACCCACCACTGCCCTTCAGTCACTTGGTAAACATTTGTGAGCTAATCTTCCTGAAATGTGTGGTTTCGCACAGTATATTCACAAGGTAACAAAATACTTAAGCTCTGTCTATTTCCACAGGCACATATTCCTTTCTGGAGCACAGGTTGGTCTTGAGTGTGTGGTAGTGGATAGTTAGTGAGAGGAGGTTTACGTGCATCTTGTCATCTCCCAGCGTGTATCCACCATGAGGCTGACACCCACAAGCAAGCAGATGGACTTGCTCAGCTGGAGGATGACAAATATTTTCATAACCTGTGACCTCAGTGGTGCTCTTTCCCTGCAAGACCAATCATGGTTATCCCTCTGGCTAATGTGCAGTCAGCAAGGGCGACCACTGCCCACCTCTGTGAGGGCTCCCTCCAGGGTCCACCCACTTTGTAAAGGGAAGCTGTTGTTCCTGCCTGGGTCCCATGCATGTGTTTGCATTTGCTGCACAATCCGCCTTATTCGGAACCACCACCCAAGAGCTTACGGTGCATCTAATCCAACTCTAGGGCATTATACATGGAGTCTCTTATTGTCAGGTTTGCCAACTCTTATTAAAGGATTTTCATTATGGAATTGACCAGAACTTGCTGGCCTTTTAGAGATATGAACCTGGCTGCAATGTTGTGGAATCAGGAGGACCAGAGAGGTCCTATATACAGGAGGATATCTTTATTAATGAGTGCACTCAGACCCAGCAGACTCAACAAACAAAGACTGGGTGCAGAACAAAGACAGCACTTGACTTTTATACATGCTTCACAAAGTGGGGTGGGCTAGCTTGAAGCAGGCTTACAGTAGCACAAAAGCAGGGATACAGAGGCAGGACAAAGACAGTCACATTGTAACAGGTTCATAACTCAGGATTGCACATGACCATTGCTATGCAACCCAGATGTCTGTTATCTAGGTTTTGCTCTAAACAGCCTTGCACTGTTAACACATCTCATAACACTCACTATGGTGCCTAGACCGCTGTAGTTCAGGTCTGCTCAGGCTTCTCATTACCTTCATTGTACTTCTTAGATAAAACAGAATACTTGAAGTTACTAGTTACAGAGAACAAGAATCTATAAACACATACCGTAAAACAAAGGAAAAATTCTTTTTCTTCTCCCTGTGTTGAGGGAGTGCTGGAAGAGTCTCAGAAGCACATTAGATAATATTATTAAGACTTTTCCTGGGTCTGGGCTGTGCTTATTGCTGCCTCTGGGATAAGTCAGCCTAATACAGGAAAGCTTATTTCTCTTTAAAACATTTTTTTTTTCAATTTCCAGCCTCACTAAAAGCTTAAAAATGTTATTCTCAGCCGGGCGCGGTGGCTCAAGCCTGTAATCCCAGCACTTTGGGAGGCCGAGACGGGTGGATCATGAGGTCAGGAGATCGAGACCATCCTGGCTGACACG